TCCAGTCTCTCGCAATCTATTAAATGTCAACATAAACACTCTTCGGTTTGGCACTCTTCTGTTTGGAAATCGTCGTGCATATTCTCGCACCGCCTTTAAAGCATTACCGTTGCAGAAACCGTATACAAAAACCATATCAGCATATTCACTATTAGAATACGTACGCGGCATATTGCAAAAGACAAAATTCATCTACTGTTAAAGGCTTTCAAAGAGCGACTGACAAATTCATAACAGAAAGTGGAAAATGTAATCAAATATGTCGGTGCTAGATATGGCAAGAAATGTAAACATTTTTTTTCGATTTCTCTGAAACGGAGCAAAAACGAGCATATGTCTATAGGACTTTTTTTCTTAGTTTTTTACTCCTCTACACGCTCCCGAAGTTTTGCCATTTAATTTGGAAACACCCTGTATATGTATATATCTGTTCGTTTTGTCGTCGCGCGCACGGCTTTGCGTAGACGGAGTTTGCGGCGTGCGTCCTCGTGTACAATAGAATTTTTGTAGTATGTCCGTAATATAGCATTGTGTACATTGTCACTTAGGCTCGCCTTGTGGATAAGTAAAAGATCTAAGGGCAGTTACTGCATCACCAAGATATTATAGAAAGATCCTCTAGGAACCTCTTGATGCATCTCTCGTTTCGTAACGCAGAGTCGTGCGCGCCGTAGCGTTGAAGTATGCGTCTTTGTCGCGTTTATTATTATTATTTTGACGATTTGTATAAATGAGACGAACTTGCGACTTGTAAATTGCACGAGTGAGAGGCGTAGGTGTGAGGCGTCGGGACGAAACTGCGTCAAACGCAGTGAAACCTGAATATCACGATGCCTAAGTAATTTGTATAAAAAAAAGAAAGAAAAAAGGAAAGACGAATCTGTAAAGTAAAACGAGAAACTCATGTATGTGGACGTGAGAAAAAAATAAAACGTGACAGCGACAGTCGCTGTATGGATTGGCAGCAGCAACGGAAGTATCATCGTTATCGTTAGAGCGAGAACGAGATTAGGTATCTCTTATTCCTGATCTTCGTACGTATATTTTATAAGTCTAATTCGTTTTTTAGCGTTTACTTTTTTCTTTTTTCTCCTTAGCTTCCCTCGCTCCACTGTATTTCTCTTTCTCCGTTCTTCTTTCTAGCTTTCGTCAGTTTATTCTTCTTCTTCTTTCTTGAGTCGGATAGATGTAACTCTTTTTTTTGTGACCTGGTTTAATGTGTAATAATTATTAAGAAAGATATTGGTTAAACTCTATTTAATAATACAGAATGGTGAAGAAATCGGCGAATTGTATTTGAAGATCAATACAATAATACGATTAAGAGAGAAAAAATATACATCTTTGTGTAATATAAATATAATAAATAATAAAACACGATATGTGCGCGCGCGTGTGCGCGCGCGCGTGTGTGTGTGTGTCAGCTACTGTAGATTGAAGCTCTCCTAATCATGATCCCGACCGTTGCTGTACCATTCATAATAACGAAAGGATTTTTTATGGCAAAACGATAATTCGCACGAAGGAACGTTGTTCATTAATGTAAATTCTTTTATTATAAATCAACAGAATACATGTGATTCTCATGGACTCTGCGCGTGGTTTGTGCAATTCAAAAAATTCGCCGTATACTAATGTTCTCTCGTCAATGCTTTCCGGTTCTGGTTTAGATGTTTCTTGCGTTTCCTGATCCTGAATGAGATTTCGAGAGAGTCGCTGCATCGCGCTTCGATAGATTTCGAATTTATGGGGAAAGTTTCTGGATGGTACATCCGCGTATCTCGTGATTGCAAAAAGTGAGTTAAAAGTTATCGCGATTATTTCGTCAAGTATCAGACATATAGGTTTTTAAAGTAAGAATTCGGACACTTGTGTCCGTTCCTACTAACGTAGATTATACCTTAGGTGCACAGACGCACGATTACAATTAGTTTTCCATCCGGACGAGACCCATTGGCATGATTATGATCGAACTTCACTTGGTAAGTTTGTTTAATCTATAAATTAGTAATTTTAATCTCGATTTATATTTTTATCTTTTTTTTATTCTACGTTGAGAAAGAATGTAACAAATTTTAATAAATATTTG